TTGCAGTTGTGCCTATGACATGGCGCAGAAAAGGCAGATTGTAGAGAACTTATATCTCGATCAGTGATCTATCCGATTTATCCGGACTCCTTTGGAAACAGGCCGGTTTCCACCTACCTTGCGATGAGACGCGATGATACCTTATTTTAAAGTAGTATAGGGCCCACCGAATAAGCCAGTTTTTGGGCAGGGATCTCCTGAAGATTGAAAGGAATACTATCGCCGATAACGTTATGAATGGGCATCTCATTAAGACAGGATGATTTCATATTCTATTCTTATGTTGAGGCTAGCATAAGCGGTTCGACAGGTATTGAGTTGTTTAGATCAAAGATGTCATAGTTCTTAGTTGGCTGACCGAACTTAAGAACAGTGCCAACTATTCGTTTGGTTTTCAATACCCTTTTTGCTTGGTTATCGATCGTAAATCGGTGTATGTGACAAATAATCAATAAAACGTACAAATTAATCCTGCAAGTCTTATTTCATGTCGCATTTATTGTTTAATGTTCATGGTTTCAGAGCCAAATTTTTATGCTTAAATGAGGATGAAGGCAAACTAGTTCTTTTTTACCCCATACAATAATTTGTTTGTGGACACTCTCGTTCACTCAGCTGTCTTCTCTCTAATTTCCTTTATGGCACGCGGAAGGTTATTATGTCAGTTAGCGCAGATGGTGTTACTTGGGTGTGAGAGCTACTTTAAATTGAAAAATCAATTATTCTGGAGACCGTAGCCGTTTGTTTTTAAAGAAGGTTATTGCATAGTTTAGGGCTTAAAAGTGAACGGTTTTTGTAGAATGCCCATTTTAGGACAGACTGGGCTAGTCACCTCAAATTGATTTTCTATATTTTGATTGAACAACCTCGTCCCTAAGGCTTATCCCTTGAAAAATGGGGTTGTTGGTTGAAGGTCAACCTCGTTCCCTGGGCTTTGCCCTAAAAAAATGGGTGGATGCCGCCCCACCCATTTTTTAAGGGAAAAGCCCTGGGGACGAGGTTAATTGAAGGCATGCCTTTTGGGATCAGATTGTAAGGTTTAAAATAGCGCAATGAATAAATACTAGTCGCTTTTTTTCAGAAATTAATTTCCTTTGAATCGCTTTGAATGAAAGCTGTAAAATCATAATATCGTCGCAATTATCATCGAACGATTAAAAACTTTCGCTTAGAACCAGCTTTTATTGCGTGGTAATCTCGATCTTTAATAGCTTGCTTCGCAGCCGTTCCTTTTTGTCGTCACGCAACGCTCGTCTCCCTTTGTGGGGAGGAGCGTTGCGTGACGTGAGAAGGAGCGGCTGTGGAGCAGACGACCTCGATCTTCACAGAGTTAAATATTCAGTTAGACTGTAAGACTAGTTCTTTTTTTCGATTTTAAGAAAAAATAGTTGCTTTTCAATAACCCCCACCCCAGACTCACTCACTGCACTGAAAATAGAAGTCAGTAGTAGTGCGAGATTTTAACGTCCATCGCGAAAAAATAGTAGACAATATCGACGTTTTAATGTTTATTTAATATAAGAAAAACATCTTCATACTATCATAGTGACATGCTTGATATATAAGGAGTTTTAAAATGACCTGGTTTTCATGCAATGTTTTTAAGAAGCCCATATTTTACTTAAAATACTAATTTCCGCCATTTTTAAGCGACAATACAAAAAAAAACTCCAACAGCAACCAGTTGCAAAAATGATGAAACACTCCTACGGAAAAACGACCTTTCTTGCTTCAAATCGCTCCTGGTCACAGGTCTGTAAAATATAATACTGACCTCCCTCCTCCCTCCAATTCAAAGTTGTTCCTCCACGTTTTGAGTATGGTCTTGTATTGCTAGCAACTTTGATAAGGGGTGGAGGGGGGATCACAAGCACAAGATCATGGACAGGCCATTTATGCCAAAATACGGTACAGTGTCTCAAGTACTTTTGCGACTGGTTGTCTCATTTAAGGTTTACTTCATCAAGCGATTTCCACGTCTTAAATTCCCAAAACGAAGACGATAGCGACATAAATAAATAGAATGGCACTTTTTGTTGCTTTTCCCAGCCGATACATCATTGTCATTGATAGCAAACCGCCTAAAAAAGCGCTTAAGAATGTAGTGACTTGTAAATTTTGCCTCAGTTTTGTTGTAACGCATGCGCCATTATCTACCGTGACATAGCTTAAAGTTTCGGCGTTGTAATTAAACTCTGACAAGCGCGAATGCATAATAACAGCATAATTTTCCTTTTCTTGGTATCTAGAGATACTATAGTTGCGAATAAAGCTGCCAAACCTTCATTTTCACCCCTGTATCTGTAACGCAATGACATTTGATATGCAATGGCGTTATGTAATCGGTATACCGCGTGACTTATTTTTCAACATCGCTGTTAAAGTAAAACCGTTCAGTTTTTTTCATCTACTACGGTGAAAATAAGATGGTTATTAAAGTCCGTTAGAGCTAGAGAGTAGGAAAAGTTGTGTGCTATTTTAATTTCTATTTTCTGACGGTCTACCATCATCCACGGTCTACCATTCTGCAACAGTAAGAAATAGAATATATTATTATATTTATCTCATATGATGGTAGACCGTGTAGACCGTGTAGACCGTTGAAGCACGTAAATTCCTGACATTGCTGTGCTGTAAAATTGCTTTTCTTGGGGATAGTGTCTTCCTTTTTGCAAAGAAATAAATTTCCTTACCAAGTACAGAACTACAAAGCCACGTTATATGCGAGTTCTCGCGACTATGTTACTGAAATAAGCGCGTGAATTTTTATTATCTGATGCCTAGCCACACTCAGGCTTCAAAATCGAAACAAAGTTGTAAGACGACCAAAGAGTGAACACAAATCCAAACTTGTGTTAAGTAAAGTAAAGTCGGCGACAGCTGCTTTTTAGCGTAACTTTTCTTTCCTGTAAATGGCAGGCGATAAAAGAGGAACCACGTCCACGTACTTATCGGAAACAACAACAAAAAGCTATCTCCTTGATCTAGCGGAGCATCTTACGTCACTTTCCTTCCATAAATAAACATCTTTTAACCGAGTTCGAAGAAAATATATCATTTTTCGTATCTCTGTAGTGTTTTAGGACCAAAAACCCTTTTCATTGCAGCTTACTTAAGATGGTGTGGCATCTTTTGCCACGTGCTTCCTTTAAAAGCCCAATTTCTTGCATATTACCACATAAACAAAAGGGCCAACAACTGCCGTTTTTGTCTCGCCATTTTTAAACAGGCAAACCTAAAAAAATGAAATACTGTTTTTTATAGCCACCTCCTTAGGTGCTAAGAGTGCACCACGTTTTACCCCGTTTGATAATCGTGCACCACGGCTATAGGGGTATGAAGGACTCAGACAGGTAGCTTGCTACTGGGAGCGAGGTACTTCTTCAATGATCAAACGGGAAAATGAATTCCAGCCTGTTTGACCATTGGAATTCCCGTATCCTGCACAATTTCCAATATTGATTCCAACTCGAATTTTGCCCTTGTGTATTTTGTTACAGTAGCCCTCAATCAACCCGGGTCTGTGGTTTTTTTCGTCTTTATTTCGGATCCACAGCACTGCGTCAATAGGCAGGGGACCACTGCACTCGGCTCCATTGAAAGTGATGAACCGTCGCTTACAGCAGAGAGCACACCCTCCCAAATAAAGGTTTCTCTGGTAAACAACACGGAGAGCAGTGTCATCCTAGGTTTTAGTGAACTGACAATTCTGTAACAACAAATTAAAACTCAATTATTGATTTACATGTCTGTTCAAAAGAATCTTTTTCATTCCATAATGATGCCAATGGACAGTAACTTTCCATCCTATTTAAAAGCACAACCTTAATGTATAGATTTAGCCAGGGCTAAAAGCGAAGCTCTCGATAACCCTAACCCTAACCCATTTTCTTACCCATGGTGCTCTGCCGCGCGCGCTTCGCGCGCGAGAGCTCCGCTATAATTATCATCTAACCAAACCAAAGTTGACTGTAGTCGTTCATCGCACTAATTTTAGAATCGACAAACCTTAATCAGTCCAATGTCACGCCCGTCGTAGTACCTCCACGCGCACTGTTTCCAGTTTCTGTGATCGGTGTGTGTTCCACTTGGTACCCTTTCTCCTCTCTCACCACGTGGTCCAGGAGGACCTGCCACGCCTTTTTCACCTTTAGCTCCATCTCGGCCGTCGCGGCCTTGTAACCCATTATGTCCATTAACTCCGTTACGTCCAGGAAGGCCAGGTGACCCTTGCAAGCAAGTGTTAGGGTTCTGTTTCATTGTAGAAATTGGTGGAGAAAACATTTTGTTGTCTTGATGGTCGTCAAATATAATAACAGAATTTGCTCTCAGCGGGAATCGTTATTATTTTATTTTGCCCTTCGGACTGCCACAGTACAAAATAAACAAATTGATGATTATCATTGACCATATGATGTGACACAGAACTGATCAAGCCTTATTAAGATCCTCGAATTTCATTATCATTCTGTCTAGGTAAGTCTTCACTCACGCGAGGTGTGCGCGTTCAAAAAGCTCTCTCGTGGACAGTCTCTGATAATGGCCTAGCTCCTCTGTCTGCAGGAGGCGTAGCGCGAAATCAGTTTTAAATTTGAAACTATATTTTTTCAGTATTTAGAAACAAATCGTTTCAAAATCTAGAGAAATTAAAGAACAACACTAACCTTATCACAAGCCTGGCAATATTTAATATTTTAAGCATAAACATGAAGCGAGCTTGGTCCTCCGCTGCTTTGGATAAAACATTTAAATAGTTCTAAAAGAAGCTCTTTTGATATATATAGCTTTGTTTTCTCCACTAAAACACTTTCAAATTCAACACAACTGAAATCTAATTTCTTTAATTTGTTCGCAACAATTTTTGCGTTGTTCAAAGAAAGCAAATTTTCTTGTTTACTTAGAAATCTTACCATGGCGACAGAGGAGGCGTTAACAATAGCGCATTGCGAAGATATCAAGAAGTAAAATAGAAAGCAAACGGCAACATTTCTTCCTTCCATGTTGAGGTAAAAATAAAGTCGAAAATACTTGGCCGGCTGAGAAAATCGAGTATCAAACTCCAGCAAAGTTTTGGCCTACTGCTTCAAGTGCAGTTTATGATGAGAATAAAATTTTTACTGTTTGAATTAATTTAAACGAAAATTTTCTTGTTGTTGGGTGAAGACAATAGTAGGCCCCGATAGACCGCCACGTTTACTAACCTTGAAAAATAACAGCAGAGAAAGACGTATGAAAGGTAAGTGGATTAATTGAATTTGAAAAAGATCTTCGCCCGATAAAAATGTATGTCCTCCCCAGAGCTTGACAATTTATTGCATACTGTTTCGTAAACGTTGCTGAACGGAATAAACTTTTGTTAGTGCCAAGTTGATTTTTTTTACCTTGCTCCAAAAAAAAAAAAAAGACCAGAAAGAGAGAAAGAAACACAGTTTACTGGTGATGGGAACTGAGAAAAATACTGAAATCCAGGTAGCCTTTTATCGGACAGCTTTTGCGCCCTCACGAAAACCATACTGGATAGGGCTTCTGTTCACACACAAAAATGGTTGTGGCGGCGAGATTTCTGTGACGGAACGAAGCTGTGCAGCGCCCATCTCTTAAGTGGAGAGTCACATATGGGATAGGTGTTCATACTATATCGGATAACTTTTCGTGGTGCCACGAAAAGCTGTCCGGTGTGGTATGAGCATAGCTCTAATGTTAAATTGCCATGCTGTCCCATAGTATCCCCATACTCGCAGCATAATAGAAAGATGAGGCCAGCTGGTTTAAATGATAGACCGTAGCATTTGTTGAAATTAGTATGTGTAATCAAATGGTATACTCATGAAATTAGGGAATAATTTCACGCGCGTTTTGTCCAAATATATAAACGCAAGTGAAATTATTCCCTAATTTCACGAGTATACCATTTGATTTCTTATTAATATCATGGGTGACGAATTACGTTAGCAATCTTGGATTTTTGACATGTTTTCCTGGATCGTATCGATCGAAAACTCTACTCTCTCAAATGTTTTTTTTTAAGACCTTAAATTTGGCTTATAAAGTTCAGAATTTTTCAGACTTTTTCGGCAAAATACCTGTTAGAATCCTTTTTGATGTTCTTTTGTGTGTTCAGGTTTTCTAAAGCGTTTTTTTGTGCCCTGAAATCTTCATTCACGGCGTTTTAAAACTTCGTCGCCGATGATCTTGACACTGAGACGTACGGAAGGGTTGCCATGGCAATTTTGTAATTTCACATGTGAAATTACAAATTAACACTGAAATTTCGCGCCGAAATTAAGGAGTAATTCGTCACCTATGATATTATGTTATTAATAGTACAATCTCTATTTTGTGAACATTTTGTTTGCTAGTGTTTTCTCATATAACGCTACACGAATAACGATGAACACACTCCCATGTGTCACGCTCCAGCAAGAGTTTCATTTTAGAGAAGTATTATAACCAGCTAAGCTCTCTTTGATGACCGAAAAGCAGATTAATGCTCGTGCAAAAAGCACTGATGCTTGTTTGAATTGTAAACAGAACATAAAAATTGATGGTTGTGCACTGAGAAGCCATCTTCTAGAAAAACAGAAAAGAGCGTTTGAAACAGGCTCATTCAACCATGAATCGATATAGTCGTCAAGTGAGTCCTCTTTCTTCCGCTTCTTTAATACTTGATTTTCATGCCCCTCTCACAACTATTTTTTCACCTGCTCTACGGCATTATGCTTTCGCAGCTCACCCTATTTGCGGTTTAATTTCGGCTAATATGTTTATTTCTACTATAAATTTAGCGCACAGCTAGCTAGAACAAAGTATGCGTTGAGTTTTCTTCTCTCACTGACTCTCATATTTTGTTACTTTATAGGACTTCACGTAGTAGGAAAATTCGCCAAAAAGCATGTGGTAGCAGTCCGGGCCACAACCAGATCTGGATATGTTATTTCCTGCAATCTGATTGGCTCAGAGTTCAACCAAAACATTGACTTGACCGCGAAAGGACTAAGCTCAACAGAAATGTCGAACAGGGAAACTTCGCAGCAAATAGCTGTCGAGTGCTTTGGGTGGAATGTACCTTGAAGAAAGGTAACAGCAATACGGAGCCGATTAATCGAGATTATTTTATACGTCATAGCGTTCGATTTACGAATATCGAGATGTTAATGATTGAGAACGCTTTCTGAAAACACCCGTGGATTTCTTATAATATTTCAAGAGACCAGAAACAACTCGACGACTCCGATCGAATTGGAAGAATAGGGAATTTGAATACCGCGATACATTTTAAGTGGAAAGGTTTTAAGAAGTCCTGTTTAGAGTAATTTCTGCGAGCACAGCTTCGACCTGGAGAAGTCTGTTCTATTCTACTTCGGGCGCAATACCATACGCGCTAAAATCTAATTTCGATCGAAGGATTGATAATGATAATCTTAATGCTAATTATTCTTGCTGTAAATAAATTTCCAGTATATTGAATCGTCACACATGTTGGAAATATGCGAAGGTCAAAGAAATAAATAAAATTTGTAGAAATTGCACTCGCGAAGAGTCGTAAGCAGTCATTAACGAACTTCTGTCTTTGCTTATTGCAAATTGCAAAACCCCTTTGCGGATGAAAATAATGCAAGTGGACGTATTCGTGTTCTAATAGCTGTTAAATAGTCACTGAGAGGACGTAAACATAATTTGACAATTGTATTTTGAAAAACAGCTTTGACAAATGAAATAGATGTGCAGACTTTACTATTAATTGCTTGTGTCAAAATATTTAATAGAATGGTTTTTCACAAGACAAGAAAATATTATATATATATATATATATATCTCTATATTTTTTCCAAAAATTTGTTCCTTTAAATTATTGTTATTAAGGGGGTGAATCAGTTGAGACGACTGATGCGGTTCTAAATCTCAAAGGAAGGTGTCACATTGGGATGCAGAGCTAGTACAGCATCACAGTAGTTTTTAATTTTGGCATGAGAGATTTCATAATACCATGTGTCTACTACCTAGGACATAGTAGTTTTACGGTAGATAGGAATACCACGACTGTAATTAATGTGGGTTACAGACGGATACAGTTCTAGTTTAGTCATATTCTCACTTGGCATTGCAGTAGCAACATTCACTTTTATTGCACTAGCAATCATTTCCCTCCCTCCCTCCCTCCCTCCCTCCCTGTAGGGTCTTATTTTGTTCTATTCATGGACAGTGTGACCATTTTTATTATTTGATTGAGGTTGTTTTAATTCTTTTTTAGTTTGGTATTTCTTATTTGTTGGAGCACTTTATTTTTATACTAAATATTACCTTTTAGTTATTTACCATGTATTGTATTTTGTTATAATTAATAAAGGCTGTCTTGTATCCCAAACAATGCCTGGGTTTCTGAGTTTTGTTGATTTAGTGTAAAAACTATGCCATTATAGTAATATCCTGTCACTGTAGGTGGAATACATACACACTGAAAAACTTAGTGGGCACTAAGCCTCTATTATTATTAGATTATGTTTGTCCTGTATCATACAGTCAAACTCCTCTTTACGGACACCAGCTTAATGTGGACTCCCTGTTATTATGGGATGTTTCCTTGGTCACTGGGGAAAACCCTTAATTTTTCTCTTTATTCAACCCACTTAATACAGACTGACCTGTTAAAGTGGATAATGGACGTTTTTTTCTTCCTCAATGAACAGATTCTTATATAAAGTCAACCTTGCTAATCTACACACTTTATAGTCCATTGTGTGCTGTAGTCAACCTCTTTTTTTTTGTAGGGTAAAAAAACCTTTCACTTAATTGATGTCATGTCCATGTTCCCAGCATCATAGTACACCAAAATGAATGAATTGTGCACAACAATAATAGACCATTTTGACATCAATCAAGTTGGTAAATTTCACATAATTTTTGATCGATTTTCTCGAGACTTCCGTGTGTTTTCATGGACACAGTCTGCAGAATAAGAGCTTAGTGATGTTTAAAGATGCTAGGTGTGATGCTGTAGTATTTCGATAAAAAAGTTTATTTTTGACTTTTATAACAGGACCTGCTTGATATGGACACCTCCGTTATATAGACACTTCCTATGGCCCCTTCAGTGTCCATATCAATGGGGTTTGTCTGTAATTATGAAATATGGAACAGTTTTGTAAGATCGATCATTTGGTGTCCTGTTTAAAGTGTATTTTCAGCCATTCTTCACATTTTCCACCTTGCATGTCACAACCTAATATTTATTTCATTGAAATGAAAGGGTTATCCAGGGATGACCAATGCTCTTATTATATTGTCAGCATTGACATTTTAATTCAGTAATCGAAAATTATATAAGTGGGAAACTGGTTTGCACTGTTGCATACTGTCTCATGACAGTGATTAATCAACCATCATCATTTCAGTCAAGATTTTGTATTCAAAGCTATCGTATTGCCTTCTACAATGTGGGCTCGCTTGGGGCTATTCTTGTTGTTTTCACTTTTCTGAACTCGTGACAAGGCAGTCATTTAACTGTGCAACTGACTTTTGCATCTTTAAAAGCACAGCACTATGTGAAACTGCTTTGCACTACACCAAACAGACCACTATCAACAAGCAAATTTTATGTAGATTTCAAAAAAAATTTTTCCAACGGTCCAAAAAATCATACTCACCTTCGTTTTTTCGATGTTTTGCTCCTTGCCGGGCATTACTTTGAGCTGAAAAACTCTCGTGTTCGGTCGTTTTACCTCCCAAGAACGCACAAACGTTCATCGGAAGGCATTTTTTCTTCACACCCCTGATTTCTCATTGTCTAAAGTCACAGCTCTCAAAGTAGTATGGGGAAAGGACACTTCTAGGTGCAGCAAAGAGCCAGGAAGTGACCTTCCCTCGTGTTTCTCGGCGTGGGCGCCATTTTGCAAATGTTGGTGACGTCATCATATATCCAGATCTGGTTGTGGCCCGGACTGGGTAGGATTAACTGATTTACCGTGGTATAATTGACGGTATTCGTCGCGTGTATAAAGTG